TTTTTTTTTTTTTTTTTTCTTAAGTTCTGAAGACAAGTGGAGGGCCAACCCTTTCTGCTGATGGTAGGCTGGGGGGGAGTTTGGGAGGCTGTGAAGGTCACAACCTGTTTGCACGGCCGCGGTGCGGCTCAGCGTGCAACGTGGAACCACATGAGGAGCTTAGAGCATCTCCGGGCTGGATGGGCTTCGCCGCCTCCTTCCCAGAGCCTCTCCTGGCTGCTGCCTGCACACCCGCCTGGGAGGGCTGGAGGATGGCCAGCGTGCTCCAGACCTCCCATCTCATCCGCTGCTTATCTGTCCCTGCTTGTTGCTGGTCCCTGCTTGGAGACATCTCAGCCCTGCCAGACTGCAGCGGGGTTTATGTTCCAGCAGAGAGCTTCCCTCTACCTCTGCTATTGGCACCAAGTTCTTCCTCCTCTTGCCACTGTCCGCATGGGATGAAGACCAGTTTCTACCTTCTGCAGTGACTGCTGCCTTCCACCGCATGCTCTGGGAGAGGGCAGCTTGGGGAGGAGATGATGTGGCTCACCTTGGTGACAGGGTACTTATCTTTGAAGGGTTCATGCTGGATTACCTGCCACTTGTTCCTCTGCCCAGGCACGCATATGACCTGTGGTGCTGAGGCCCCACCAGACGCTCATCCCCTGGTCTTTGGCCACATCCCTGGTAGGTCTTTCCCAGCAAGGACCCAAGGTGCAGACCCATGGTGGGACACATGGGCAGCTGTTATGGAGCCCATGCCACCACTCAGCTGGGGAGCCTGCTGGTGCTGAGGGTGTCGGAGCAGTGGTTAGACGTCATTTCCAGCGTGCGCTCCGCAGTTCTCCATCCATTGCACTCATGGAGAACCTCTGCCGTGCTTCCAGCTCGTCTCTGCTCGTCTGCCCTCTCCTTTTTAGTTCCCACTCCCTGCTCAAGGCTGGCTGCCAAGTTCCCCTGCCTGCCCTGGGGAGGGTCCGGGCTCTCCCCCACAACCCTCCCTGCAGGTTTGCAAAGCCGCAGGGCTCTGCCCGAGGAAACGCAGGCGCTGGCGAGCAGATCCAAGTGCGTCAGCAGCCAACGGCACTTGCTGCGGCAACCACGGTGGGAACAGGCTGGGGGGGATCAAAAGACCAAGGTAGCCCAAGCCTGGGCGGGCAGGGTGGCTGCCGCGGGCGCTGGGTTTCCTGTTTACCGGCACGAGGGCGGCTGGGGTGCGCGAGGACGGCTGCGTTCGACCTGGGGCTCTTGCACGCTGTGGTGGAAATAGTTACGGGTTGGAGTTTGGGTTATTGTCTGGAATAACAACGGGCCTGGCTGTGGCGGTGGTGGGGAGAGCGGCACCCGGGGGTGGGAGAGAGGAGTTAGTGCGAGCCGGGGAGGGAAGGGGAGATGGGGCTCGTAGGCTCTGCCTTCATAGCCGGCAGGCCTGCAAGCCGGTCACAAACTTGCCTGCAGCCTTTCTGCCAGTAGCAAAGCTGAGGTTGAGCAGTGCTCAGCCCAGGCTGCAAAACCCACCCGGAGCTGTGCGCTCCTGCAGCAGCGGGCCCTGGCTGGTGCTCTGCAAAGCTGGGGTTACCCCCAGGAGCTGCAGCAACTCGCTGAGCTGACACGAGCTAAATCAGCGAGAGAAAAACCCCAGTGAGACCTGGGGTATTGCAAGATGTCTTCGTCTCTCCTTCCCCCGTGCACGGTGGCTCCCGGTCCTGCGCTGGCAGCAGGGTGCTGGAGGGGGGACCCGGGGTGGGCCTGAGGCAGGGGCCGGGGCAGGGAAGCAGCGTTTCGACGCTTGCTTGATTGGGATGGTGGCATTTGTGCTTGCTGTGTGTGCTTCCTGCCGAGAGTCATTTCCTTCCACGCTGCAAGGGGGCCGGGAAGGTGTTTGAGTCAGTAGAGACAGCGGGGTTTGAGAGGCTGATCTGCTGCTCTGCAGCAAGAGAGCTGCACAAACCAAACCCTAACCTGCCTTCTCCCCAGCACACGCAGGCATGTTTGGGAGGATGAGAGAGATGAGCAAGCAGCTGCAAGCGTGCGTGGGCTGGAGGTTTTTACCCCGCTGCCTCTGGGTGTGAGGTCCTCGCAGAGGCTGCCCTTCGCCCCAGGAATTCCCTGCGTGCTTCTGTCTTTGATAAGCACCTCGGTTGCTCCAGCGCTCTCTCTGTTGTGTGGATTTTAGGTATGCAGTTTGTAACAATAGCTCTTACTATTTACTTACTAACCCGCTGGCGGTCCATGCAGTGAGAGGTGAGTGCAGGACATAGTTAGCACGCTGCGGCATCCCAAAGCAGAGACGAGACGTTTGCAGTGTGATGCAAAGGAAGGCCATTAATATTTTCGCACCTTCCTTCAGTAGTTATTGCCTGGTAAACTGCCACGAAAACCCAGCTGCCAGTTCTTTCCCACTGCGTTGGTCAAGCCCTGCATCCTTCAAAGACAGGATTAGTCTTCAGCCCTGCTGTGCGTGTCCTGGATGCAAAGACCGTAACTGTGCTACGGTTTTTTAAGGGCTAAAATAACACGCTGTGTCACTAAGGATGTGAGCGCACGGGCAGGTTACGGCAGGGCACGCTAACGTTTGAACTTCCAGCCAGCTCATTTCCAAAGGGTAGGCGATGCCTTGAAAAGTCGTACCCTTGCTCATTTTAGGGAGCTTGTCTGTCCTCCCTTTGCAGCCCCAAGGACCTGGGTCTTTCTGTGCTCTTGTCCTGAGCTGATGAGCTTTGGAGGGTTATTGCAGTGGTCGGTCCAGATGCATCCCGTGTCAGGCAGTGAGCAGGCTGCCATCGTCTCCAGACGCACACCCATGGTGCTGCACGGTGTATCCTGCCATGTGTAGGGCTTACGAGTCTCCCCAAAGTCAAGCCCTGTGTCTGGCTTGCCGTGGCGTTCGTTTGGAGCAAGCATCATCTCTCGCAATGCAGTTCAGTGCTGTCGGCTGCTGCGGGTGATGAGCAGGTCGCGTTTCTGTCTAGTTTTAAACTGCAGTAAATTGAAATGAAAGGCGAGTCGATCCACGGTGAGTGCAGTAAGTGGAGTTTAATTGGGATGAATTACACGCCAGGTTTGCAGTAATCTCCATCCTGCTCAGAAGCATCATCTGCTTTGGAAATGTGACTCAGAAATGTTGTTATTTAATTCCCTCGAGCATTGAAGAAACTATTTTTCCAGGAAGCAAAGATTGTTGGGTTTGGTTGTTGGTTTTTTTTTCTTCTTGTTGCTGTTGTTGTTGTTTTCTCTTTGTTTTATGGCAATGCGAGTCCTTTCCCAGAATTTCCTCCAGGGAGGGAGGCTGCGAGATGCTCCCTTACCAGCGTCTCTTCAGCGCCTTCTCCTTGCTTGGCGTTTAATGCTCCGGCACGCTCACAGCTGCCCTTTGCAGGGGAGCACAGCTCCGAGGTAGCTGCCTGGAGTTATTTGCTCCTCTTCTCCACGGGCCACAGCTGAAGCTGCCAGGATGATGCTGCAGCTGCACCATCGGATTCACCACCCACACGCGGAGCCAGGCAGGTTTGCCGCCTCACCAGCCCCATGCCTGGATTTGCCCTGCCGTTCTCTGCCACTACCTGCCGGGGCTGGCCCTCGCCACCGTGGGCTGGCCCTCATGGTCACACTGCTTGGTCGCTTTTGGGTTGGCCCACCAGGGACAGCTGCTGAGGTGTGACACCAGCCCTGATGCTGTCCCCATGTCCCAGAAGCCTGACGTGATGGTGGTGCTGCCTGCCCTGCCCTAGCCATCATCTGCTGGGCACCGGCTGAGGGTTTCATTTGACCATGACTCGGTTGCTTGCAGTTCATCTTGCCCTCTCCAGCCATTCCCTGGAGGAAGCGTGTTGGAGAGGAGTGGATCTTAAGTGTTTGTAAGACACAATAGCTGCAAACAGGATTTCATCCAGCTGGGCAGGAGGCAGCACCCTCAGAGGGTTTACCTCTGCAGAAAAGCTTTCTTAAAAAAAAACAAAAAACAAACAAACCAGTTGCTGTCTTGAAAGACAAAAAGAAGTGCAGTTTGCAGATGTGTGTTGAGTGGAGGAAGAGGAAAGTGTGAGGTGTGAAGCTAAAGGGTGAAGGAGCTTGCAGTAGCGGTAGAGCTGCCCTCTGTTCATCGTGCCTGGGGGTCGCCGCAGGTGAGACATGCAGCCGTTCTGCCGTTCTTGGGGGACACAGGGGTAAATAGCGGGTGGTGGCTGTGGAGGGTTCCTAGGGAACCGGTGAGAAGGGGCTGTGCTCACAGGCTCGTGTGTGTGCACAACCATGTACACATGGCAAGAGAGATGTGCAGGATAAGTAGTAAGATCTCTGTGCTGCTTTGCAAGGTTGAGGAGCGAGCTGGGGCTCTTGAAGGGCTTGTCTAAGGTGAGAGGAGTGGGCAGCTTCTCTGGGAGGACCTGGGCACCTGTGGCCATGCTGAGGACCGGACTGGCAGTGCTGTGCTAGAGCTCTGGGTGCAGGTCCCCTCTTCAGCCCGTGCCGTCAGCGGTGGCAGGAGAGGACTGGGACGCTGCCGTGATGGCACGCTCGTTGCCTGAATGCAGTCTATAAGGCACCATCCCCAGCACCCACCCGCTGTCCTTGGAGCTCTGGCAGCTCTCTGCCCGGGCTGGGGCAGCCATCCTGTCCTTGCATCCCAGCACAGCCAGGGAAACACGGTTCCTGGGCTGAGCTTTTCAGAGCCCGGTACCCCGGTGCCGTAGGCATGCCTGGGTCTGCCATCATGTGATGGGTGGTAATCCAGGTCTTCAGGTGGCTAAAACTGCTGTATCCGTGCCCTTCCTTCTCCTCCACCTTTGTGGGAATCTCAAGCTCTTTGCTAAACTCCCCTTCTGTTTTCCCTTTCTCTCTTAGTGGATATTCGTGAAATCAAAGAGATTCGTCCAGGAAAAAATTCACGTGACTTTGACCGGTACCAGGAGGATCCATGCTTCCGACCGGACCAGTCTCACTGCTTCGTTGTCCTCTATGGCACAGAATTCAGGCTGAAGACCCTCAGCTTGCAAGGTAAAGCACTCGTGGCCCTGGGGCTGTGCCAGGGCAGGGTTGGGCAGGCACCTCATCACCACAGGACCCAAACTTCTGATGCATCCTTCCACAAGCGAGCTAGAGCACAGCCCTTGGCAGATGCTCTTTCCACCACACCGCGGGGGTGTGTTTGGAAGAATGTGACGCTGGTTCCCTGAAGGGTACACATTCAACCCTAGTTAAGTCAGTTAATTTGCCCGGTAAACCCAAAAGTTGGGGGAACTGAAGCCCCTAGTTCAAATGTGTGCTTGAAATCAAATGTTTTATCTCAGCGTGGCATGTTGGCGTTCACCAGCCGTGTTGTGGTAACTGGCCCCACACATGAAGTGGTAAAATCTCTCTCGCTTCTGCTTTGCAATTCTGAGCGAGAAAACGCTGCCGGTGGCAAACGGTAACGCACGAAGCCACGGTATCCCTGAGGTGTTGGTCTCGGCTTTCCTCAGTGCCTTGTCTGTTGACTTAAGCTGGACTTGGGGCACCCAGCCTTACGTTTTCCTGTTAAAAGAGGGGAGGTTTATGCTGTTGAGTCTCCTCCTGTTCAGACGGAGGACAGGCTCATGATCGCTGGCTGCAGTTCAGCTGATGGATGATATCTTTTTCGGCTAAGAGTACGCAATCTTGTGTCTTGTTTAAACCCACGTAGACGAGCACTGATGGCAGACGTGCTTGACGTCCATGGCAAATCTGTCTTCTGGCTTGTGCTGTGGGACACAGGGACAGAGACAGCACTTCTGCCCTCAGAAAGGATGGAAACGCTGACAGGGAGGTTATGGAGGAGCTGGCACACGTTCCCAAGCAGAGCATTTCTGCTTGGGGACAAAGATAACCCCCCAGCTCTCGGGAACTGAAGGGAGAGTGTTGTGCAGGCGCAAGGGCTCCAGCCAGGTACATCCCGCGGGAGGGGAGCAGGAGCCGGCCAGAGCGTCTGCACAGGAGGGAGCTGTTAGCAGAGAGGGGATGAAGGAAGGAATGGGGGATGCTCCCAGGAGGTTTGGGTCAGTGATCGGCTTCTACGTCCCTTCCTCCCATTTCTCCTGTGCGCTTTCCACAGCCACTTCCGAGGACGAGGTCAATATGTGGATCAAGGGGCTGAACTGGCTGGTGGCAGACACCCTGCGGGCTGCCACCCCCCTGCAGATTGAAAGGTGAGGAACTTCTCCTTGTCCTGCACTTGTTTTCTTTTTTTTTTCCTTTCTTGTCCTTTTTTTGCCAGGAGAAGGTGAGCACAGTGACAACATCTGATTCCGTCTCTGAGCCGCGCTGACCTGGCACTCCTGCCTCTGCGCTCGAGAGGCTCCATCCCGTTGACCTGCTGTGCTGCATTGGCTACGGCCAGAGTTTGATCTCACATGCGTGCAGGGAAAAAGGAGCTTTACCACAGAACAGATGTTTTTATGTGTGTGCAGCCTCTGCTATCTGTAGCAATTCAGTGCAGAGGCATGTAGAAGAGAATATCTTTGATTTTTTTTTTTTTTTTTTGGTCTTATCTGTGGACTTACTGTCAGGCAGAGACAATTTTAAAGGGGGGCAGGTTGCCTGCATAAAAATAGGGCAGGCTGCCTCGGGAAGGGGAGCAGAGCCAAGTCCTCTGGTGGGAAGGAGGGCTGTGGGAGCGGGCGGCAAGGCGTTGAGCATCTTCCAGAGGTAGCGCCGAACTGAAGGGGCTTGTTGCTGAGGAGCTGGGGCTAAGTGTGCGCGTGTTTGTGCCTTTCCGTTTAGGTGGCTCCGCAAGCAGTTCTACTCGCTGGACCGCAACCGGGAAGACAGGTAAGAGGGAAAACGCTCGCTTGCACAGATGTGCATGTTAATAGAAGGGTTTGAGCCAGAAAGGTTTACCTTGGACTTGAAACCCCTGCCTTTGCTTTGGATTTTTTATTGAGTTCTTTAGGTTTTTAATTTTAATTTCCAAGGAACCTTAATTCAAGTCCCAATACTTCCCTGGCTTATTTTCACTGGCTTAAAAAAGCATCAAAAAATGACCTTGTTTCCCTGACCTATTTCCCAGCTGTTTAGACTCAGTAACACCCTGAGAACCCATAACTGTGAAACACGTTCACCCGAGCAATCACCCGAGGAAGCAGACACCAAAGAGCCAACAAGCGGCTGTGCCACCCCGTCAGGGCTGAGCCGGGTTGTGTTTATTACTCTCCATTCTGTTTGGTTTATTCTCCACCTCTGAGGTCCAGGAGGCCATGGATCGTCCCAGTGCTTGGCTTCTGGGCTGATGGGCTGCAGCAGGACCGCTGCTTGTGGGGTTCTTGGGTGAACACTTAGTGATGTCCCACCGGTGAAGAGTTGTGCTTGAACCTGTCATGAGGAGATAGATAAGGGAATTGGGTCGTGATCCATCACGAGCAGATAAGGGAAGGGACATTTCCCTGTCGAGGAGGCGAGTTCCACCACACTCTGCTTTCTGCCGCCACCGCCATCACCTGCTTTCCCTGGCCGCACACCGGCTGCCAGCCTCCTCTTCCCGAGGTGCTGTCATTTGCCTCCTTTCATCCCTGGGACATGCTTTTCCCCTGTGATGTTAACGGAGCCCGTTAACCTTCCAGCATTGATTTCCACGTTAATGTGCTCCCCTGGGGTAGGGGGATTCCTCCAGTACTGCTCCAGAGAGGACGGTGATGGAGACATCGCTCACACATCAGCTCGTGCCCCACGGCTGCGGAGGAGCACCCAGACCCCATCTGCCCCCGTTACATGCCCGGGTGCCCAGGCAGGGCTCACTGCAGAGCACCGGGCAGATCTTTGAGCTCCAGAGCATCCTCCACTTGGCCCCTGCCAACGGCATTCATCTCACACTGCTCCCGATTTCTGTGCTTCACATTGAGTCCTCCTCATCCTGGCAGCAAGCTCCTGCCGAGAAACTCACCCCGCAAACCCCGCTGTCTGTGCCGGGAGCACGCTGTTGGGGAACCATGGGTGACTGCGGATCAGCAGCCGAAAATCACGGCTCCGTACTCATTAGGAGAAGCGACCGGGTCCTCTCGTCCCACTTTGGTCCCCGCCGGTGTGCCCCTGCCTCCCAGCTGCAGCGTGCTGCCCCGTGACAGCCAGGACGGGCAGACGGCCCCGCTGTCGGCCTGCCAGGGTGTAAATTCAGCCTGTCCACAGCTCGGAGTGGAGGGGAGCGTGTTGCATGGGAGAAATCCCGCCGCATTGGACTCTTGGCCTTGTAATGGTTTATATCGTGGCGTGGCGAGAGCACCATTGGGTGCACGGGGATTTTGCAGAGGAGGGGTAAATCCTCGCAGAGGCAGAAAGGGAAGGGGAGATGCCTTTAATCTCTTGCAGCTGCTCCACATATGCCACGCACCTTTCGAATCCAGGCTTGGGTTTTATACATGATGTACTGGTTTGTGACCCGCCATAGTATTTCCTAATTCAGCAATGGAGAGCACTGAGGCACTGAGGCAGCCACGTGGGGGTTTTGGAGCATGAAGGAGAAATAGAAAAAATTGGTCCTTTTTCTCGTCTGGTTATACAGTGAAACTGATGGAATGGCATGCAGACAGGACAAGAGATTGACTGTATAGATTCATCTGCCCAAGGCATGTTCAGCCGAGCTGAAAGCCAGCCTGTTACATCTCTCCTGTCGCTTGTCTTAATATAATCTTTCTATTAGCATTTAGAATTAAACCGGCAAAACACAATATATGCCTTACCTGCCAGTCAAGGGAAGGGAGTTCAATGCAAACCACCTAACTGGAAGAGCTGCTGCTCCAGCCCGGGCGGCGAAAGGAGCAAAACAGCGATAGAGAGGGAAAGCGGAAAGATTTTGGGTCTCCCCATTTTACAGGCATCCGTATGTTTTCTGCAAAGTGGAGGCAGCAGTTAAGGGACATGTACATCTCTTGGATGATATCTTCGCCCTTGTGAGGCATTTCAGCATTAACTTTGGTGTCCCAGGGCTCTTTGCTTTTGCTTCTCAGCGTGGAAATGGGTTTGCAAAGGGAACGGTGAGTTGTGGTTTTTTTTAAAAACACTTCTCATGCAAACTATCAACATCCCTGGTCCTTTTCAGAACGGGCAGGTTTTTGGCAGCTGAAGAAATCATTCCCGGGGTTCACGTACCCTGCGCTCGCCCCGTGCCTCAGCCTCCTGCGCCGGAGCCCTTTCCTTTCCGCCTTTTCCCGGCTGGGTGCCTGTGCATACCTTCCAGCACGCCAGCAGATGTTGGCTGTTTTCACTGGCTGCTGGGCCTTTGGGTATTTGTTTTTCCAAGGGAGGTTAGGTGGAAAGAGGAGGATAACAGGATGCTGGGGTTTTTTTTCCTGACTGTTGCGGAGGAGACTGTTTCAGCTCTGGCTAGGGGAGCTGCCCGTGGCTGGGAGCAGAGTTACGGCGCTGGGGAATGTTTTCATCCCCTGTGAGAGGGCTGGATCTGTCCTTTGACCTGTTTGTCATAAGACCTTAAAAAACTTCCGTAGAAGAAATTAGTTTGTTTATTTGGTTTTTACTTTCTAGTCTCAAAATAGTACCAAGTTGTTTATGTAAGGTCTCCAACACTTTAAAATTATTAATAAGATACAGTAAATAAAATCCTTCTATACCCCATCCTCCTACCAAAGCAGAGAGGGAAATGCTGGTCACAGCTTTTACGGAGTTTGCTCTCACCTCCCCTGGTGCCGTCACGCGGACGAGCAGTGCTGCGGTCCAACGTCACCCTGCGAAACAGCCCAGCATCGCCAGAGCCGGGCGCTGGCTCCAGCGGGTCTCCAGCCCGGTGCCTACTGCTGGTCCTGCTGCTCAGCCCCTCCTGCCCCTCCGAGAGCTCTCTTGCAGTCTCAGCCTCGCAGCACCACGTCCGTGGATGCTGGGTGCCTTGGAGAAGGGAAAGGGCAGGCTCCCCTCCCCCACACACCCACCCTGAGCCTCCGGGATAACCGCTCC